CAAATGGAGGTGACCCATACAGACCTAAAACCACAATAGGCCAATATCAAACTTACCATTGCTATCCAAAAACTTGAGAAACTCGTGCAATGAGACTATTATCCATTTATAACGGCACAAACATACAATCAATCCCCTGCCAATTTGGATTTAGAAAAAATAAAAGCACTAATGATGCAATCATAAAAATCTAGATCTGCTTTACACAGCAATGGAAAATAAGGAATATCCACTAGGAATTTTATTGACCTAAACAGAGCTTTTTGACACGTAACCACTGACATCCTACTCCAAACAAACTTGACCAGCAACGAGTATAAGAGGCCATGGCGCTTGGGGGGGGGGGGGGGGGGGGGGGGGGGGCTTATTGACAAATCTTACCCCTCTAATAAGATTCAGTATGTCACCATTAAAGACACAGCATCAGCAACAACGGCCACTTGATACTGGAGTTCCGCAGGGAAGTGTCCCGTGGTCCCCTGCTCTTCCTCAAATACATCAATGACTTCCAAACGTATCCCATCACCGAAAACCCCATTCTCTTTGCTGACTACACGACTTATGTCATGCTCTCACCCTAATCTTGCGTCCTCAACAGACCATTGTTAACGAGAGCTGAATTAAAATATCGACTTGGAATGACAGCCAATAATACTTATGCTTAACACTGACAAAAACCAACACTTAATTATGTTTGGTATGCATAAGCAGGAGTATGCACAAATTAACAATAAGATCGACAACACTCTATTACCAAACATAAATTGAGGGCAAAATGCCAAGGCCTTATACATGACAACAACCAGTATTTCAGCACCCGGATCCAACACATAACCAAGAAAGTATCCAAAACGGTTGGGATCCTCTCCAAGATGCGATACTACGTGCCGCAAAATGTCCTCACACTATACCACTCACTTATTTATCCATACCTCACCTATGCTATTTGTGCTTGGGGATCAACTGCAGCAACACACCTAAAGCCAATAATAACCCAACAAAAAGCTGCAGTAAGAATAATCACTAAATCCCATCCCTGGCAACACCCCCCCCCCCCTACTCTTCATAGATCTAAACTTACTCCCTGTTCAGTACATCCACACTTACTACTGTGCAGTCTACATCTACAGGACCTTAAACTCCAATATCAACCTTTACCTAAAATGCTTTCTTGATAGTTGTGACAGAACCTACAGGCATAACACCAGACACAAACATCTCTACGACATTCCCCGTGTCCGACTAAACCTTTACAAAAATTCAATGTATGTCAAAGGCCCTAAAATCTGGAACACCCTACCTGAGAACTCTAGAACTCCAGACACATTCATCACCTTCAAAACTACCATTAGAAAACATCTTATCTCCCTGATACACCCCATCAACTAACTATACGAACACCACCTGGCGGTTCACACTTACATTCACTCACCCATTTGACCATAAACAGAAATATTAATCTCAATCTTAAAATAATGAATCCTGTGATACTCCAATACTGAAACTATGTACTGTGCCAAAACAAAAGCATTCACATTGCTAAACTTACAAACTAGTATTTAGTCACTTAGCCATAATACCAACTTACCTCATAATTTGTAATATTTTAAAATTAAGAATTAAACTAAGTCTGCCCGAAATGCCTAGCCATGCTAGGTGTTCTAGTGGTACACTCTGTAATTATTATTTAACTACATGTAAACCACACAATAACCAAATTCTGTAAACTCAGCATTGTAATCCTTATAGAGAATAAACTTTGAATTGAATTGAATTGAATTGAATATGGTAGTCAGCCGGGCTACCATACCAGGTCAACCCACCCACACATATTCTATGATATTTAAGCTTCCCAGAGTGATAAAATGTATATACAGTTCACTCATTACTTACCTTAAAATATTTGTAGTCTTAATGTAGGGTCAGGAGTAAGTAAATGAGATTAAACGAATAAATGAGAGAGAAAGAATGAGTGCATGAGAGAGGACAGGCACAGAGTTATGTAAACAAACCAGGTGAAGGTAAGTTTTGTAAACAAAGTGTACACATCTGGTTTGTGTACAAGTTACATTGTGTACAGGTAGTCTCTACATTGATATGGTAGAATAAATAAAGAAGAGCACTCCCATTCTCATGTAACATCATTTTGAGAAGAAATGACGCTCTGAGTGAAGGCAATGGAAATAAGTCACTCTGTTTGACTTTTTTGGGTTATCCTAGGTTCTCTACACATATGCTGTTATGTATGATAATCTATGTAACTGTATTTGTGTATACCTGAATAAACTTACATACATACGAAAGGAATAATTTTCTACAGTTACCCCCAGTAACACATTTTCTCATGTTAGAGAAAATGTTATTCTTGGCGTCACTTGTACAAGTTATCTGGTTACCACATCTCATATTTATGTTTATTTATTCTATTGTGGGATGTATTTATCATCTGTATATGTTATGTATCATGTTTATTATATAATTTTGAAAAAAATATCATGGATGGATTAATGAAAATGTGTATATTAACGTAATATACGACATTTAATGAGACTAGGTGATTATTATTATTATTTCTAATATGGCGTCACTTGTGCAAGTCGTCTGCTCCCACATCTCATATTTATGTTTATTTATTCTACTGTGGGGTGTATTTATCATCTTTATATGTTATGCATCGTGTTTATTATATAATTTTGAAAAAATGTCATAGATGGATTAATGAAAATATGTATATCAACGTAATATACGACATTTAATGAGACTCGATGATTATTATTATCATTACTAATATGGCATCTGGAGACATAAGACACTCTTACTGATTTTAATGTGTACCTGCACACCAGCACAGTATGTAAATTTATTTAAGTACAGGTATACATAAGTATAATTATCAGAGCATATATAAAATACGAAATAACTTTTAAAAACACTTAAAATTTTGGAGTTTCCAGACGTAATGGAGAGACTTAGTGCTTACCGATCTCACAGAGAATGTAAACAAACCAGGTGGGGCACGGTGACCGTATTAGAAAGTCAGGTGGGGGGAGCCGTATAGCGAGTTTTGGTCATAATTTGAAATGACCGTATTAGTGGAACGCCGTAAAGCGAAACGCCGTAAAGCGGGGCCCTACTGTATATGCATTTTATCACTCTAGGGAGCTTTAAGCATCATAGTATAGTATGTGTGGGTGGGGTGGCCAGGAGGGCTACCACACCTGACTTCTTAGAGTAAATCTTACCTTTTGCCCTACATTAAGACTACAAATATTTTGAGGTAAATAATGAGTGTACTGTGTGTGTATTTTACTTTTTAATGCCTAGTTCTATTGCTAACTTAATATATGTTAGTGTAAACTTGTTATTTGGCATTTATATGCATTTATAAATGGAAAAAATGGAGTTCTGCTTTCTGGCAGCAGCCTGGAACCTAACCTGCTGTATTCAATAATAATCACTCTGAGGCACATTAAATGTCATATATTACAATAATATACACATTTTCATTAATCCATCTATGATATTTTTTTTCAGAATTATATAATAAACATGCTGTGTAACATATAAACATAAATAGACCCCATTACATACATATTAATAATAATGTGTATGTAATGATAATTATAATGAAAAATAATAATAATAATAATAATAATAATACAGTATTATGGTAATAATAATAATAATGTTTTCATTTTTAGACATTTTTTGTAATTTTTTTCAAATGCTTCAAAATACAAATTGGTAACCCTTTGGGTGGCTGTAGGTACTGCTAGACCATGGCTATTGCAGTGCCAACCAAGGGTCAAAAGGAGGAGGAGGTGTGTTGCTCTGAGTGACTGCAGCAGACCCTTGGGATGAGCAATTATGTCTTATATTGTACAAATTTCTTAAACAATGCCTCTCCCAAAGAGACAGTATTCGCGTACAGTCAGCCAGAAGCTTAGGAAGCGATTAGAAACTATGAAAAAAGCTAGAGAAACAAAGAAGGCAGCAGCATAGAGGCAGCCGGCTGCCACTGCCACCACCACCACTGTGGCCTCAGTGATCATGTCTTCACCTATATATACATCTGTCTTAACCACAACTGTGGTTACATATATGACAACCTCACCACTAATAATAGATAAACACAAGCTAGGTGTGGGGTTATGGACTGGGAGGATACTAGAGTGGGAGAGTAAACGGTGGATGCTTTCTTCCGCTGCCGGCGTCGCCATCACTTGCCATATTATGGCCTATTTTATTCATTCTAGAGTATATATCATGTTTCTATCTTATTAATATTGTTTATTATGTCATATTAGATAAATTGTGATAGATAACTAAGCCGTAGAGTTGATATTAGCATTATTTTGTCATGTCTTATTCGTATGCTGAGTCAGTTTTCCTCATTTAAATTAACTGAAATGCAATTAATCCATTCCAGCCTCTCAGGAGGCATACCTGGAGTTAACCCTCTCCAGGTAACTCCAGGTATACTTCCTGAGTGGCTAGAATGGATTAATTGCATTTCAATTAATTTAAATGAGGAAAATTGACTCAGCATACGAATAAATCAGGATAAGAACAGGGTCATGGAATGGATTAAATTCGTAAGCCGAGGTTCCACTGTATATTACGTGTGGGTGGGGTGGCCTGGCCTGGGTACCATACCTACTACACCTGACTTCTTACAATGAATACTACTCATCTCACCCTACATTAAGACTACAAATATTTTAAGGTAAGTAATGAGTGTACTATATGTATGTGTTTTTTTAATGCCTAGTTCTATTGCTAACTTACTATATGTTAGTGTAAACCTGTTAACTAGCATTTATGTGCACTTTACGGCAATTTCCGCTTTATGGAAGCAGCCTGGAAACTAACATGCCGTATAAGTGGGGCCCTACTGTGTGCATTACATGGTGCCACATGAAGATCTTATTTTTAATGTGCTTTATATCTTACAGCTGTTAACACATACTACAATACTGATGTTCTTACTAGTAATCTGAATTTATATATCTTTCAGGTGGTGAGACTTCAGTATTAGTAGCTGAGGAAAATGTAAGCACTGCAAAGTATGGAAGTCAAGCTCAGGAGGCAGATACCAGTAGAATTTCTCAAATAAAGGAGAATTTGGTGGATGTTAGGAAAGCTGAGCTTAAGGAAGGTGATTCAGTTTTCCCTATGCAAGACATATTTTGTGCCAGTGATTCCAGCAAGGTTAAAAGTGGTGGTAATATTGAACTTAATATCACTGATGACAACAGTTTTGATTACTGTTTACTCCAGTGTCAGTCATGCGATTCATACTTTGTTGATAGATTAAGCTTAACAAAACATTTACAGTCTTGTGATACAAGTAAAATGTGTAGGAAATGTTTCTTGATCTTTGAAAATCATTCTCAGCTTGCCTTTCACTTGCACACCAAGAAGCATAACGTCAAAATCCAACATACATCAGTTTATGTGTCCTTTTCAGAATTACAGCAGCTGAGGGCAGAGGGTCGAGTTAAAGTGAAAAAAACTGAAGACATTCATAAAATAAAAAAAAGACAGACATTGTGCAAAACAGATAAATTATCAGGAATATGTCATAACTTAAAGATTTCAGATTCAGAAAACAAAAGTGCAAAATCTGCTATGATAATGACTTCGCAAAGAAAGAAAGATAATCTTTCAATATTAATGAACCCCTCAAATACTTCACTGAAAGCTGTTGATAATATATCACAGAATTCTGATGTGAAAGTTTATCCTCCTTCGGAGACAGCAGAGGAATTCTTAATATCACCGAGGGCTCAAGTAACTGCTGAAGAGTGTTACAAGGTTCCAATCTCAAGTTCAGAAACAAAAGAAGCCAAGAGAAGGGATGAGTTGTTGGATGCCCCAGCCCCAGTAGAGTCCACTGAAGAGCCTAAATTATTGGGAAATTCATTTCTAAAACAGAGCCATGTAAAACAAAGCCGATCACTTGATCAAAGCAGCAGCAGTAATGCAGATGTAATGAAAAGTGCAGAAAAGTCATCTGTCAATGGTAGAAGTCTTGCTGTTATATTGTGTAACAAGTGCAAGATGTACTTTTTATGCAGGAAAAGTATAAATAAGCATAATTCCAAATGTATATTAAAGAAAAATTCTTGTTTAGTTTGTAGAAGAGTTTTTAGTTCCAGTTACCTTCTTAATCAGCATATTTCAAGTGCTAGGCATATTGCCTCGTATCTCACTACTTCCTTTGTATCTCGGCAAAAACTGGAGCATTTGATTCATAGGAGAAGAGTGTATAAAGATGATATTAATATGTACACCTTTAATTCTGCAAAAACATTTAGGAAAATAGTTAGTCCATCTAAAGGAAAAGGTTCAAAGACAAAATGTTGCACAGTTGAAGCACAGAATAGTAAGGCAGAATCCTCCAAAGTTTTACTGGAGAAGAACACAGATTTTCAGCTTAACCTTGAGGAAATGATAGTGGTGGATCAGTATGTAAATATATCATTCCTCAATAAAAAATCTACTAATGAAGACAATATTTCAAGTTCATTAAGAGAGGAGCTTAAGGAAATTAATAATCTTCAGCATGTTAAAAATGCTAACAGTAAGCTGTTACAAGAGGATGTTACTTGCAAACTAGTGCAAGAAAAAGATGCTGCCAATAAACTAATGCAAGAAAAAGATCCTGTTGGCAAACTAGTGCAAGAAAAAGATGCTGCCAATAAACTAATGCAAGAAAAAGATCCTGTCGGCAAACTAGTGCAAGAAAAAAGTACTGCAAGTAAACTAGTGCAAGAAAAAGGTACTGCAAGTAAACTAGTGCAAGAAAAAGGTACTGCAAGTAAACTAGTGCAAGAAAAAAGTACTGCAAGTAAACTAGTGCAAGAAAAAGGTACTGCAAGTAAACTAGTGCAAGAAAAAGATGCTGCAAGTAAACTAGTGCAAGAAAAAAGTACTGCAAGTAAACTAGTGCCAGAAAAAGGTGCTGCCACAAAACTAGTGCAAGAAAAAGGTGTTACCAGTCAACTAATGCCTAAAATAGATGCTGCTCATATGACAGTAGCAGGAAAGGGTGACACAAGTACACCAGTACAAAAAATAATGACTAGTACAGTTGTACAAGAAAAGAGGATGACCAGTATACCAGTACAAGAAAAGACTACTCATACACCTGTACAAGAAAAAACTACCAGTACACCTGTACCAGAGAAAACAGTGACCAGTACACCAATGTCAGAAAAGGTGACAAGTACACCAGTGCAAGAAAAGATTACCAGTATATCAGCACAAAAGACTACCAGTAGACAAGTAAAAGAAAAAATGTGTACACTGATGCAAGAAAAGACACAGACCCATACACCTTTAAAATTAAAGATGACCAGTACACCAGTACAAGAAAAGAAGACTACCAGTACACCAGTACAGGAAAAGAAGACTACCAGTACACCAGTACAAGAAAAGAAGACTACCAGTACACCAGTGCAAGAAAAGAAGACTACCAGTACACCAGTACAAGAAAAGAAGACTACCAGTACACCAGTACAAGAAAAGAAGACTACCAGTACACCAATACACAAAAAGACGACTCTTGGTACACCAGTACAAGAAAAGAAGACTCTTGGTACACCAGTACAAGAAAAGAAGACTCTTGATACACCAGTACAAGAAAAGAAGACTCTTGATACACCAGTAAGAGAAAAGGGTACCAGTATACCTGTACAAGAAAAGATGACCAGTACACTGGCACAAGAAAAAAAGACTACCAGTACACCAGTACAAGAAAAGAAGGCTGTTGGTACACCAGTACAAGAAAAGGGTACCAGTATGCCTGTACAAGAAAAGATGACCAGTACACCAGTACAAGAAAAGAAGACTCTTGGTACACCAGTACAAGAAGAGCCGACTCTTGGTTCACCAGTACAAGAAAAGACAACTCGTAATACACCTGTACAAGAAAAGACGACTCGTAATACACCAGTACAAGAAAAGGGTACCAGTTTACCCGTACAAGAAAAGATGACCAGTACACTGGTACAAGAAAAGAAGACTACCAGTACACCAGTACAAGAAAAGAAGACTCTTGATTTACCAGTACAAGAAAAGACGACTCTTGGTACACCAGTACAAGAAAAGAAGACTACCAGTACACCAGTACAAGAAAAGAAGACTCTTGGTACACCAGTACAAGAAAAGAAGACTACCAGTACACCAGTACAAGAAAACAAGACTCTTGGTACACCAGTACAAGAAAAGGGTACCAGTATACCTGTACAAGAAAAGATGACCAGTACACTGGTACAAGAAAAGAAGACTACCAGTACACCAGTACAAGAAAAGGCCAGTACATCTGTACAGAAGAAGATAACCATTACACCTGTGCCAGAGAAGATAATCAGTACACCTGTACAGGAGAAGATAATCAGTACACCTGTACTAGAGAAGATAATCAGTACACCTGTACAAGAGAAGATAACCAGTACACCTGTACAAGAAAAAACTAATACATCTGTGCAAAAAAAGAAGACAACTAGTAAACCTTTACTAGAAAAAAGTACTGGAACACCATTACAAGAAATGATGACCAGTACACTTGTACAAGACAAGATTCCTAGTACACTAGTAGAAAAAAAGGCCAGCACACTAGTACAAGAAAATACCTCTAGTAAACTAGCATCAAAAGATGAACTTGCTGTCATTTGCACAGAAAATTCTCAAGATATTTCTGAAATTGTAAAGAAAAAAAACCTTGCTGGGAAAGACAAGAAAAACACCGGTAAGCTGGTAAAAGATAATTCAGTCATAAGTAAAATAATACAAGACAAAAGTAATACCATTAATGTGGTACCAGACAAAAGTGACACTATTAAAGTAATACCAAACAAAAGTGATACCATTAAACCAGTACCAAACAAAAGTTATGCCATTAAACTGGTACCCAATAAAAGTTATGCCATTAAACTGGTACCAAGCAAAAGTTATGCCATTAAACTGGTACCAGACCAATGTGATACCATTAAACCAGTACCTAACAAAAGTGACACCATTAAACAAGTACCAAACAAAAGTGACACCATTAAACTGGTACCAGACAAAAGTGACACCATTAAACTGGTACCAGACAAAAGTGACACCATTAAACTGGTACCAGACAAAAGTGCACCATTAAACGGACCAGACAAAGTGACACCATTAAACTGGTACCAGACAAAAGTGACACCATTAAACTGGTACCAGACAAAAGTGACACCATTAAACTGGTACCAGACAAAAGTGACACCATTAAACTGGTACCAGACAAAAGTGACACCATTAAACTGGTACCAGACAAAAATAATACCAGTAAATTAGTGCAAGACAAATTTTACCTGAAGAAACTGATACAAGTCATAAGTGACCCTGGAAAATCAGTTCAAGACAAACATAGCCCTGGTAAACCAGAGAAAGAAAAAAATGTTACCAGTCAACTGATACAAAGTAAGCATGGCTGCAGTGAACTGCTACAAAACAATCAAGATCCCAGTAAACTTCTAAATGTCTCTCATAATGTAGACCTGGGGAGTATTGCAGGTACTTCTGCTAATTTAATGCCACTAGGCATTAATGATGTTACAAAAACAAATGAGACACAAGAATATGTTACTAACATACATTCATCCAAAAAAAGTGGGATCAAGAGAAAAAAAACATTTAACTGTCCCATGCCAAAATCTAAAAAAATAGAAAAGGAACAAAAATATTTGCCAGTGGCACACCGGTCTCCTAGTAAGCGTAGAAGTGTTCGTTTGGAGAAAGTCACTAATGACTGTCCTGGCTGTTCAGAGCCAATAGATTTTACAACATTCATATTAAATACAGTGACATATGAATTATCTTTTTGGTGCAGAAAATGTGCCTGGGATATTATGTTCTTAGACTTTATAGGACCTATTAAGTCTTAACAATAAACATTTAAAAAGGGCATTGCAATGTAAACTCAAGACTAGTTAATGGCATGATCCTTGTACTTCACAACTCATATTTTCTCTTAACTGTTATTATGATGTACCTGAAGCTACTATTATAAGAAATTTCAAATAAGATGGCCTATGTATTTTTATAATTATTTTATGAATCTACATACTGATAGGTAGTACCAATTCTGAATCGCACATACAAGGTGCTATCAAAAGTTCCTGGACTGCTGCAAAAAGTACATATGCTTACTTAATCACCTAGTTGAAGTAGTCTCCCCTGAAATACTTTCCTTGGTAGGCTATGTACTCAGCCCATCGCATCTGCCACTTCCCGAAACATTTCTGAAACTTTTCTTTCCTAATGGCATCTAGTGCAGCCTGTGATTCTGCTGAATCTCCTCCATGTCATTAAAATGCTGCCCCTTGAGTGTTACTTTTATTTTTTGGGAAGAGAACGAAGCCACAGGAGGGCTAGATCTGGGAAGTAGGGCAGGTGGGGAATGACTATCATGTTGTTTTTGGCATTTCTCATTTTGAGTCAGCAAGTGGGGCAAAAATTTTGCAGCCACTCGCCTCAGATTCAAATTTTCAGTCAAAATGCTGTGGCACAATCCATAAATTCTCACAGCGTTTGCCGTGGCCTGGATACTGTGATGATGGTCGTTGTGAGTAACTTTCCTCACTTTTTTAGTGTTGAAGGCTGTATGACCCTTGTAGGTTTAGCACTTCATTTTGATTATAATAATTTAATGTTGACGTCTGTTTTGACGGTGATGGATAACCAGAGTACTCATCATTTTAAACCAACATTTGTCCTGCTCTGAATCATGAAAACCAGTGTTCAACCCATTGTTTCATTACCAAATGCTTTCAGAAGCATTTAGTGAGTTTCATTAAACATTTTACTGAACATGAAACAGAGTATCACATACACACACTGTTCTTTCTTTTAAAAAATCCATTATGTTACACAAAAAAATATCAACTATGCACAACACAAAAAATGCCCATCTAACCTCAGTGAAATGATTGAGAGCACTGAAACTCACCATACTACTTCACAAAGGAATGTACTGTGGAACACGATCTATGCTACTGCCATATTTCACACAGGAAGTGCACGAAAATTTAAGTACAGGAACTTTTTTGATGGCACCTACAGCATTATTTATTTTTTTTAACTATGGCCAGATTTCCAAATTCACAAGGATTAGGATCCTAGAAGTCTTTACCAATTCAGACTTTGTCAATATCAATAAATTTTGTTTCAGATTTAGCCTCATTTTGTATTTGGCACCATATCTCTTTAAACGGTTAGTAATAACATTCACAAAAAGAATATTTAGAAAACAAAAAAGATTTGGCAATGGGAAAACTCATATGTACCAAGGTATTCATGGAAGGCCCCTGACTATGACTGGATATTCTAATCATGTGAATTAGGATGATTTGAAATTTTTTGGTGCAACTGTTGATGCATTCTGTGCATGTAATTTTTCATTTTAAGTGAAAAGTGTAATTTTATGCTAGTTTTATTTTCAGTATATTTTTATGATGTGAAGATTTGGTACTATGTATATATATAAATAATACAGTGTGTAAAGTAAAAGGACACAAGTGCAACTAATGTGACATTTTATTGTAACGTTTCGCTCTCCAGGAGCTTTGTCACGCTGCTACAAACAGTACATGGACACAGAGGGTATACATAGGCTCAGAGTGAGGTGCAATACTAGTGGTGGTAGTAGTAGTAGTAGTAGTAGTAGTAGTAGTGATAGTAGTAGTAGTAGTAGTGATAGTAGTAGTAGTAGTAATACAATATGTTAGAACAATTAACTTGCACATGAGTAAAAGGATATAAAAGCTATTAATTGGGAAACATGAAAATAGGTTAGACAAATACAGTGGACCCCCGGTTAACGATATTTTTTCACTCCAGAAGTATGTTCAGGTGCCAGTACTGACCGAATTTGTTCCCATAAGAAATATTGTGAAGTAGATTAGTCCATTTCAGACCCCCAAACATACACGTACAAACGCACTTACATAAATACACTTACATAATTGGTCGCATTCGGAGGTAATCGTTATGCGGGGGTCCACTGTATTTCTATTGGAGGCTGGATAGAGAAGGCCTGTTTCAATGCTCATTCTCTGTAATGTGCTTATGTAGTATTAACAGGAGAGACTATGTGATGGCAGGATTTACTGTTTTCAGGAGGATTCTTGCTAAGACTTCAGAGATGGTGAAGCTGCCTTTGTTTTGTTTAATTGTATTAGAAACAGCTATTAGTGAAGATTCAAGGCACTTGCGTCTGCAGAAACTAGTTTCTTTGATCACTAGTTGAGCATCCCTGAACCTCATGAGATGATTGGTGGAATTTCGGTGTTGTACACAGGCGTTGTTCAAGTTATCGTTCCTACATGCATAAATGTGTTCATTGAGGCGGGTGTCGAGGTTTCTTGCTGTTTCACCTACATAAATCTTGTCGCAGCCTCCACAGGGTATAGTGTAAGCCCCTGCGTTGACTGGTTCGTGGTGCTTGGATTTTGTTCTGGTTAGAACAAAATCCAAGCACCACGAACCAGTCAACGCAGGGGTTTACACTATACCCTGTGGAGGCTGCGACAAGATTTATGTAGGTGAAACAGCAAGAAACCTCGACACCCGCCTCAATGAACACATTTATGCATGTAGGAACGATAACTTGAACAACGCCTGTGTACAGCACCGAAATTCCACCAATCATCTCATGAGGTTCAGGGATGCCCAACTAGTGATCAAAGAAACTAGTTTCCGCAGACACAAGTGCCTTGAATCTTCACTAATAGCTGTTTCTAATACAATTAAACAAAACAAAGGCAGCTTCACCATCTCTGAAGTCTTAGCAAGAATCCTCCTGAAAACAGTAGATCCTGCCATCACATAGTCTCTCCTGTTAATACTACACAAGCACATTACAGAGAATGAACATTGAAACAGGCCTTCTCTATCCAGCCTCCAACAGAAATACACCTACCATCTGACTTACGACCTGCTCGACTTATGACCACTCGACTTATGACCGTGTTTTTTATGCCAAATTTCTGGGAAATAAACAACTGCAGTGGACCCCCGCTTAACGATCACCTCCCAATGCAACCAATTATGTAAGTGTATTTATGTAAGTGCGTTTGTACGTGTATGTTTGGGGGTCTGAAATGGGCTAATCTACTTCACAATATTCCTTATGGGAACAAATTCGGTCAGTACTGGCACCTGAACATACTTCTGGAATGAAAAAATATTGTTAACCGGGGGTCCACTGTATTTGTGTTGTACACAGTGTTTATCCTAAACCTTACAGTATAAAATACACTACTAACAACATAAAAAGTAAAGTAAAACATGAAATACCAAAATAAAACAATAAAATAAAGTTATTACAAAAATGTTTTGTTGATATTCAGTAGTAAAGTTCGACTTACGACCATTTCGACTTACGACCGGTTTCTTGGAACCGAACTCGGTCGTAAGTCGGATAGTAGGTGTATTTGTCTAACCTATTTTTATGTTTCCCAAGTAATAGCTTTTATATCCTTTTACTCATGTGCAAGTTAATTATTATTATTATTATTGCTGCTGCTGCTGCTGCTGCTGCTGCTGCTGCTGCTGCTGCTGCTGCTGCTGCTGCTGCTGCTGCTGCTGCTGCTGCTGCTGCTGCTGCTGCTGCTGCTGCTGCTGCTGCTGCTGCTGCTGCTGCTGCTGCTGCTGCTGCTGCTGCTGCTGCTGCGCTGCTGCTGCTGCTGCTGCTGCTGCTGCTGCTGCTGCTGCGCTGCTGCTGCTGCAGCTGCTGCTGCTGCTGCTGCTGCTGCTGCTGCTGCTGGCTGCTGCTGCTGCGCTGCTGCTGCTGCTGCTGCTGCTGCTGCTGCTGCTGCGCTGCTGCTGCTGCTGCTGCTGCTGCTGCTGCTGCTGCTGCTGCTGCCTGCTGCTGCTGCTGCTGCTGTCTGCTGCTGCTGCTGCTGCTGCTGCTGCTGCTGCTGCTGCTGCTGCTGCTGTCTGCTGCTGCTGCTGCTGCTGCTGCTGCTGCTGCTGCTGCTGTGTGCTGCTGCTTGCTGCTGCTGCTGCTGCTGCTGCTGCTGCTGCTGCTGCTGCTTGCTCTCTCTTGCTGCTGCTCTTCTGCTGCTCTCTGCTGCTCTGCTTCTGCTGCTCTGCTTCTTGCTGCTCTCTGTCTCTCTTCTTCTTCTCTGCTTCTTCTGCTTCTCTTCTCTTCTCTTCTCTTCTGCTTCTTCTTCTCTTCTTCTTCTGCTCTTCTTCTCTCTTCTTCTTCTGCTTCTCTTCTTCTTCTTCTTCTTCTTCTTCTTCTTCTTCTTCTTCTGCTTCTTCTGCTTCTTCTTCTTCTGCTTCTGCTTCTTCTTCTTCTTCTTCTTCTTCCTGCTTCTCTTCTTCTTCTGCTTCTTCTTCTTCTTCTGCTTCTTCTTCTTCTTCTGCTTCTTCTTCTTCTCTTCTTCTTCTTCTGCTTCTTCTCTTCTCTTCTTCTTCTTCTTCTTCTTCTGCTTCTTCTTCTCTTCTTCTTCTTCTTCTTCTTCTTCTTCTTCTGCTCTTCTTCTTCTTCTGCTTCTTCTGCTTCTTCTGCTTCTTCTTCTTCTTCTGCTTCTTCTTCTCTCTGAGCCTATGTATACCCTCTGTGTCCATGTACTGTTTGTAACGACTTGACAAAGCTCCTGGAGAGCGAAACGTTGCCACCATAAAATATCACATTTGTTGCACTTGTGTCCTTTTACTTTACATATTGTCGGTAATTCTACCAATTTTATTACATAAATAATACAGGTTTGGCATTTTACTGCATTTATTGTGGCAGCATAGATAGCTGGGATACCAATGGGTCCTGTACAGTATATACCATACCAAGGATGTGACTTGTCCAGTGTATTGTAATCTTGCAATTTTTAGTTATTATTAACATGTGAGTTCTTAATTGCTGTTTTATTGTAAATGGGTAATCACCCTGCTGATTGTTAATAGTTATTTAAACTTTTCTATATTCCATGAATAAGAGTATATTAGTGTACCAAAGTAGACTTTATTCTGGCATCTCATATCTTATTATCTTAATCCTTTCTGGTAATTACAAAAACACTGCTCCTGTTAACATGCATCACAAAAAATACAAGTAATACAAGAGATTTGATGTATGTAATAGTTTCTGCCTTCATTGAGTTAATTTTCTTAGAGTACTGCATAGAATAACTTCTTCCTTGTGTTTGGGTTTCCACAATGAAGAGGTTGAGCTTTTTTTCATAAGAGAGCATAAGTAATACAGTGGAACCTCAAAAATTGAACTTAATCTGTTCCAGGAGCTAGTTCTAAATTCGAAAAGTCTGAAATTCGAAGCAATATTTCCCATAAGAAATAATGGAAATAAAATTAATCCGTTCCAGAAACCCAAAAATATTCACACAAAAAATACATTTTATAGAGATTAATTACAGTTTTACATACAACAAATACTATAGTTTTTAATTATGTATAGTAATACATATAAAATAACATTTTTACTTACCTTTATTGAAGATCGGTGATGGCATCTGGAAGATAGGGAGGAGGAGAGAGGGAGTTGGGGTTAGTGTTTGGAAGGAGAATCCCCCTCCATGAGGACTTCAGGTAAAGCCCTCTCTGGGGTTACTTCCCTTCTCTGCCTTTTAATGCCACTAGGACCAGCTTGAGAGTCACTGGACCCCTGTCTCACAAAATAACTGTCCACAGTCCTCTGTTTC